ATGTGGCTGACAGCTTCCAGACCACTGGAAACTCCTTTGAATTGGGGGCGAGAGATTAAACTGCTCACAGAACAGTGAGAATGGGGGTGAACACTGACTCCGAAGCCTGAGCGTGTCCCCTGGGGAGCCTGGGCAGACCCACGGGGTGTGGAAACCATCCCCATCGCACCGAGTGCCCTGACGGGCTCTGACTGAAGCCCCGRTGCGGCTCTTCTGGGAGCGCTGCTGCCAAAAAAAATGCCCACGGCTGCTGTAGAGCCGGGGCAGAGCTTGGCACAGATCCCACCCCGGGCTGGAGCCCTTCTGGGCCAGCTCCTGCATGGTCTGAGGCACACRGGGCACACAGGGCACACAGGRCACAGCGCTGATGAGAACAGAYGGTTTGGAGCCRGGAAGCAGCAGGGACATGGGAGGGGAGAAGTGGGGGCTGTGCCCTGCCAGGACACTCGGGAGGGAACAAGTGACCGCTGTAGAGGGGGAAGAGGAGCTGCTCTTCTTCTCACTCTCCCCATTAAATAAAAGAGCTGCCGTCAGCTGTTTTGGAAACATTTCCTCAGACTGCTGGAGTTGGGGGGATTGCCCAGAAGAACTCCAGGTTGATGYTTTGTGCTGCACTGGGAAAAGCCCCTTGGATTTCACACAAGCTTCTGCTGGAGGCAGTGAGAGCAGCTCTGCATGCAGAGCCCACACTGGAGCTGCTACCAATGCTTAGAGCTGTGAGGGGACAGGGGGATTGCCTCCCTGGGCATGTGCTCTCACCCTGGGAACTCCACAGCTCTGCCCTGACAGAGGCTTTTGCAAGCAGGGAAGATCCCAGCTCTCCTGGCTCCATGCTGCATATCTGGTACTCGCTGAAGGGTCCTGTCCTGCTGGCTGGGAGAGGCCACGAGGGCTCCATGGCAGCCTGGYGAGGCTGAGGAAGCCCCAGGCTCACCTCGTGGGGCTCTGTGGGGCAGCTGGGCAGGACGGCACAATCCCACTATCAGGACCCTGGGAGATGTCTCTCAGTWGGGAGATAGGTCAGGTCTGGAATGAAGCACAGATGGTTTATCTTTGCAGCCCTGGACAGAGATGGTCTTGGAACAGTCCCTTGTACTTGGACAAGGGGCAGAAGGAGTGGCAGAGGCTGAGACAGGACTGCAGTGGGGCAGGGAGAAGACAGAGCCATGGACAGCCCTGAGCTGCTGCCTGCTGTGACAGCTTGGGAAGCCAAGCTAGGGTTCATCTCTGGCAAAATATCATTCTGTGCTCACTGTTGGGGTGCCCTGGCCTGCCCCATCGTCACCCCAGACCAGGTCAGCTCTTAGTGTTGGATTCTTCCTGATGAAATCCAGGTTTGCAGAGGGTCACCTTGCCCAGGGTCCCTGTCCCTTCCAGTCCCCCTCACCAGCTGGTGCCACTGCCCACTGCCCTTTCCCCTCCCTGTACAAGGTGCTTTGACTAAGGAACAAAGCAGCATTCCCTAAAGCAAAGCAGTTATAAATTTATCAGCCACAAAGCAGGTCCTTGCAGCAGCTCCTGCCTTGGCTCTTGGAACGAGGCCAGCAGTCCCCAAAACACTCACCGCCTTCTGGCTGGGGCTCCTGAGCTGCCCCTCCATGCCCCTGGTGCTGGTGCTCCTGTCCATTCTTGGGTGGGAAATGCAGAGAAATGTGGGTGTTAGCASAGCAGCGCTGGTCCCATTGTGGGTGCTGTGTCATCCCAGCTCTCAGAGACCCCAGACAGAGCCCCYTCCYCTCCCCAGCACATCTCCCCAGCCCTGCAGCACCCCCTAAAACAGAGCAGTGCCAAGCTCTGCCTGTCTGTGGGGAGCCACGCTGAGTTCCTGCCCTACCCTGCAGAGCATTGGTGTTCAAGAGTGGATCAAAAAATAACTTCTTTCCAGTGGGGGTAAGTTCAATGCAACAGGATCCTGTCCTGAGTCCTCTGGCATCTGGTGCCCTTCGCAGCACCCTCACTGCATCCTGCCCCATGTTTGAGTCCCATCACTGCCAGCCAACGCCCTGCACGGGAAAGGCCAGGCTCTTCCCCCAGGACACCGCGTAGCTGTTAATAAACATTAGCAAATCGCTGGGAGTGTCGGTCAGTGTGTTCTTGTCAGTCACAGCGGGGCCGGGGTTAATGCTTGCAAAATCCCTTTTGCGGTGAAAGGGGTAGGGAAAGGGGCAGGTCTGTATTTATCGCTTCGAACAAAGTCAGCAACCAGGAGTTCACAGCATCGGTTTCCTCAGCCCGGGTTTAAGAGYTGCCCGCAGCCTCTCAGACAAATGCAGACGGACACCCTGCCCTGGCACCCTGCAGACCGGGCATTGGGGTGCAGGGCTGCGTGCTGGAGTCCTGCTGCTGGAACAGCTCCAGCGGTGGGATGGCAGTGAGCGGGGCTGTCTGTCCCTGCCCGTGTGCACGCAGCTCTCCAGGAACATCGGGGCTCGTTTCACACGTCTGTCCCAGCACAGCTCGGCACGATCCACCTGCTCATTCCTTTGGCCCGTTCCCAGCGGGACCGGTGRCCCTTCCTTTCTCAAGAGAGCCGGGCCCTGTTCAGCGGTGGGGAAAGGCTGCCTTGTCCCTGGCTGGGGCATTGCCCGGAGGCACAGGGATRTCTGTGCCAGGCTCCCGCAGGGCTGCGCGCTGCCGTCCCGGCCGGCAAAGCCCCATTTCTCCCTTTCCTCTCCTGAGCGTGGCTGAAAGCCGCTCACCGGCTGTGTTAATAAATGGGCGCAGCGGGAAACAAAGAGGTCTGGCAGCTGCCCCGGGCTGCGCCGAGTTGGCCGGGGCTGCCGMWCGCCCGCTGCTCGCCCGCTGCTCGGTACCGGGGCCGGTGCGTGCCCGCAGCCCGCTGGCCGGCAGGAGGGCTCGCAGGCAGCTCTGTGCCCACAGCTGGATCTCCTGGCCAGGCTGGCACCGTGGGGCAAGGGCCGCGTTCCCGAAGCTCGGGAGCTGGGGTGGGATGCAGGGATTTAACGTGGCATGGACGGTAAGGCACCAGCAGCTCCGCGGGGCACACACATCCTGTCACAGCAGCTCGGCCCAGCACGGAACGGAGGATGGAACTGAGACCTTCTCCTCCATCACTGGCACAGGGTGGGGGCAACCGAGCAGGAGGGGAACAATGCCACCCCCTCTGGCACGGGCAGGGAGCTCAGGGCTCGTCTAGTTCATCCGAGGTAAATAACCACTGTTTTCTCTGGAGGTGATRTGTTCTTTGACAATAATTGATCTGGGCATTTGTAACTTGCCTCTCGCACCGCTGTCAGCGTACACTTTCCCTTTTCTCCTGGGAGAAGCTGGTCATTAGGCTCTTATTCAGCAAAAGTGTGGGGTTTTAAAAGCAGAGRTAGGATTAGTATCTTTTAACTTGATGAAATATGCTTGAAATAATTACATGATTTGTACTTAGCACCTCTCAGCCCARGGCATTAGAGTGATTTACAAGCAATTATCAACCCTGCTGGGAAGATGCTTTTATCCCCATTTTGCAGATAGGATGTGGAAAACCAGGAGTTGAGGGCCTGTTCCTGCTTCTTGGCCATGGACACGGAGATGGCAGAGGATTGCTGTCTCCATGGAACAGGGCACAGGCAGCAACAGGCATTGCCACCGGAGCGGAGGTGTCAGAGTACCGAGAAATAAAACATCGGTGGCCGTGTCGGGGTGGCTGCCCGGGACTGCCACCCGCACCTCGGGGAGGAGGGAGATGGGGAGGACGCGGCAACAGAGAGGTGCCAAGGAGATTTTGGCCAAGGACAGAATGTCCTGAATCAGCTGGACTGGAGGGTGGTGGGAGATGCTGAAGGCAAAGGCCTGGAGAAAAAATGGGGAGAGAGGAGGGGAGACCCTCTGACCGGGCTGCACCGAGACCTCCCAGAGACGGGACAGGAGCTCTGTGCCTCCGGAGAGGGGCAGGAACCCATTCCCCTGCGGACAGGGGGCGGGAGCTCCGTCCTTCCCTCCCTCCCCAAACCCCCTGGGGCAGGTTCACTGGGCTGGTTCCAGCGGGACGGCCCCAGCCCCGAGCGGGCACTTCGGCCGGGGGCGCAGACAGCCGGTCCCTCCCCGGGGAGCCGGGAGCGGCGGGCGGAGCGGAGCGGAGCGGAGCGCGGCGGAGGCGGAGGCGCAGGCGCGGCGGGGCCGCTGCCGCTGCCGGTGCCGCTGCCGGTGCCGGGGCTGTGCCGGGGCTGTGCCGGGGCTGTGCCGGGGCTGTGCCGGGGCTGTGCCGCCGCCGTGGCCCGGCCGGCTGCGGCGGGAGCGGCGGCAGCATGCGGCAGTCCCTGACTCAGCAGCGCCCGGCCGGCGTGGCCCTGCCCGACTCGGTGGGTGAGTGCCGGCCCGCGGGGGATCCCGATCCCGCCGGCCCGGGGGGCGCGGGGCCGTGGGGTGCGGGGCCGTGCGGGGTCCCCGGGGACCCTCCGGGGCTGCTGCGGCCGGGCCGCCCCCTCCCCTCCCCTCCCTCSCCGCCGCCGGCCGCGCTCGGTTCGGCCGTGTGTCCCCGGGACCCCCGCGGGCGGTCATCGCGGCCCCGCAGCGGCGGCGGCATCCTCGGGATGCATCCTCGGGCCGCTGCCCTCCCGCTCCCCGCAGTGGGTTCGGGATCCCCGGTACCGATGCCATTCCCCGTCCCCCCAGCCGGGCAGCAGCCCCGCAGCGCTGYCGGGCCCGCAGTCCGAGCCCCGGGGTCGCAGCTCCCACGGTGACGCGTTTTTAGCAGAAAAATGGGASCAAAGGAGAGGGGCTGGGAAGAGAGAGGCTCGGTGCCACCTGCCCCCGGTTCTCCCGGGGTGAAACTTTGAGCTGGCTTCTTCCTTGGGCTACTCTGTGCCTGTTCTTTGCTTCTGTCTTTTCCCCCCAAAGCACAAGATGGAGAAGTCTTGTTTCTGTGCCATCTTGTCCATTTTCTTCTAATAACTGGGGGAAAAAAAACGGAATTAAATCAAGGGCAGTTCAAAGATATGCATTACTGCAAACTTTTAAAGAAATCTGGAAAAAACTGCTACAACCTTGTCTTTAGAGTGCCTTATAYATATATGACAACTATAACAAGAGGATATTTCTGATGCTTAAAATAAAAATGATCATTTTAAGACCAGTGCCCGTTTGGAGTGCCATTTTAGCAAAAGCAGTAGTCAGGCTATGGGTAGCATTAATTTCTTTACAGCTCCCTCACATAGYAAAGCACAGTGTTTTGGATCTCTTAGTCTATTTATGTTGTGGTAAGCACTGCAAGTTTTGGGATATCTGTTTGGGATAAATGACAGAGAAAAGCTATTGCTGTCTTTTGAAAGCACAGATGGCAAAGCTGAGGCAGTTCAGCTTCTGTGTATAGAGCTTTACCAAGCTCAGGAGCAAAGAGGAAAATGATCTGATGGGGAATACTTTCAGCAGAAATTCATGTTGAGGGAGAGGATTTTGTCAGAGCAACCCTTCAGCAGTTATTACAGAGATACTGGGTATGAGTCTGAAGCAGCTGCAGGCATCCTTACAGGAGTACAAAACCACTGTCTTTCTAAACACAGCAAAGTGTTTTCAGAGGAAGAAAAATATGTAATTAATATCCCAATACAGAGCTGGAGTGGAGGTAATCATATTATCTCTTCAGTTTCTCATCTCTTTTCCCTTCAATATCAAGTTAAATGATTATGGCTGGTTTTGTCAGAACTTGAAATAACAGGTTGGTTTTTTTATGTTAAGCTTTTCTTTTTCTTTAAATCCTATGAGGAATATTGAAAGGCTTTGAGAAATTTTCCAATTGAAACCTTATGTTTCTGTTTTCTATTGAATGTTGATGTGTCCCAGTCCAGAGCTGGAAGCAACACAGAAAAGAAGAATGAAAAACACGATGGTGCTGAAACAAGTGCAGCATCTCTAAATGGTGTTTCAAGCCACTTCTTTCAGRGTTGTTTTCTGCAAAAATGCTATTGCAAGATACTCTGGTTTCTAAGGGAAACAGCACATTTTGCAGGTGTTTTCATGGTCAGTTTTTGCAGCATCTGTGGTGGCAGTGCAGGAGCACAGGTTTGGGTGTGTAATTTTGTGTTTGCAGCTGTGCCCTGCAAACATCTGCATCCCCACAGCCCCACCGTGCACACGGGGAGCTGTGTAAGGAACACAGGGCTGGGCTGATTTACCTTCTGCTCATTTGCCAGCCAAACTGGAGCAGTAATCAGAAGTCTGGTAATCACGTGGAAGCAGGGTGAGTTAATCCTTTCTCTCCTTTCAAACCTGGTCTATGTAAGAAGCAGCAAATTTTCTCCAGTTTTGGTCCCACTGCTATGGATTTTTAAGACTTTATGGRSCACTTGCATTTAAATGGTCACATTRATGCACAATTATTGTGTTTGGAAGGCAACACATACAAATGGCTTCATATTTTAAATATGAATATTGGATTATTTAAAAGGCTAGATTTCCTATTATTAACTTATTTGTCAGATTTAGGAGAATAACCCCAAATGTGACCTGCAGCAAAGAGTCAGGTACCTTTAKTTCCAGCCTATAAAACATGGCTTAAAAGACTAAGGATCATTGATAAAATATCCAGCCTGAATCTTGGGGCTGTTTAGCASTTTTTTAATATTTTTTTGTTTGAAATTAGAACTGTCTAGCTGTTTATTCCAGCTAAGGACTAACCAGTTGTCAGACTCATYGCTCTTAGGACCAGTGATGCCCCAGAGGTGCAGTCAGACCTGGGCTCTGGAACATGAGCAGAAGGTTTGTGGGTGGAGAGCTTTCCTTCCAGAGACACTGGTCAGTCAGAARGCATGRTGCCTTTTTTTATAAACCTCTCTTRCCTTTCATCTAGGGCAGGGATGAAAAGGGCAAGGAAGGACCATCCAGTGGTCTTTTCCAACCCTTCAGTGATTGGGTGCTCTCCTTCTGTTGGGCTTTCAGCCCCAGGTTCAGCCTTGTCTGTGATTTCACGCTCGTCTGTGGGTGGAATGATCCAGCCTTGAGCAGCCCAGAGCATGGGGAGGGAGCATTCCTGGCAGCAGCACAGCCCCAGTCAGGCTGTGGGGAGCTGTGGGGAGCTGTGGGAGCTGTGGGAGCTGTGGGAGCTGCTGTGCTCTTCCCTGTGCAGAGCTGTCCGTGAGGAGGAAGGGACAGCGCTGGCAGCAGTGTGTGTCCATGTGGCTGTTGGGGTGAAAGGATCTCTTTATCTGCTCTGCAGATATGCACACACCCTACAGAAGGGCCTGTGGGCACCTGGRCTGTGCACCTTCGAGACAAAAAGCTGCCCAGCAGGGCCTGGTGTGCTTCTCCTGCTGGAGAATTTGGACAGGAGGTTGTGTTTGGCTGAGCAAGCCTTCCCTCATGGCCTTTCTGCAGGTGTTTTATCTCGCTGGGCACAGACTGCTGGAATCCCTGCACAAATGGGGGGTCCCATGGTGGTTTGTTTTAGGGAATACACTCAGCAAGGGTGAAAGCTGCTCTTTGCTCTTGGGACACGTTCCTGCCCTTCTCTGAAATGCCCTGAGAAGTGCTGGGAGCCTCTGGGGTGRAAATACCCTTACCTGCTCCCAGGCCATGGGAATGGGATCCAGGGTGGCTCCAGAGCCCACAGGGAGCATGGCAGGGACCCTTACAGCCCATTATCCTACCAGCTGTTCTTGCAGGTGACGAGTTACATCTACACAACATATGAAACATGATCAAAAGGATTGTTCCACAAAGGGACAYCAAGATGGCACAGCACATGCAGACCAAACACTCCCCTAAAGATGTTGCTGAGAGTAGTGTCGCAGCCAGCTTTCCTCTTGGCTGGTGGAATCACTCTTTTATGTTTATGCTCATTTGGGAGATCTATAAATATAGAAAAAAAAAAACAAACCCTCATCATCAGGCAGCTGTAGATGAGTTTTACTAATCCACAAAATTCATTATTCAAGCGTCTAAAAATACCTGGTCCTTGCTGGAAGTAGAGGATGATACTACAGAAGAGGGAGAAGAGGCTGTTACTGGTGATGTCTCATTTGCATGGAAAACTGTGGATGCCTTGTGATTACAGTCAAAATTGCCCCCCTCAAAACAAGCAGCATGCAGTGTGGTTATTTAGCTTGATGTAAGTAGATAGATCAGAAAGTATTGAAATGTCTGATGGGAATATTTCTCATTAGCTCAATTGCTTGGGGCCAGCGGGGCTGGGAGACTCCGATGTATCTAAATGAGCTCTGCAGAGTTGCAGTTCTTCAGGCTCTCTTCATCTACGTCAGAGCAGTGATAAGTAACTGTGGATTCAGATGCCCTAGTAAYGCTTGATAAAGCATGTTAGTGAAGGTGAAAAGTGACAGCCAAACCCAAAAATATTCTCAAGTTAGGAGAAAGGAAATTCACCGTGGTGTGGTTGGCAGTGGGAGGAAAAATTTGTGGTGCTGTGACTCTCCCCAGACGGAATCAGCAAATTCTGTTGTGTGTGTGTGTGTTTTTAGGGTCGTTCAATAGAAGAAAAAGAAATTCCCTCTACGTAACTGTGACTCTSCTCATTGTGTCAGTATTAATTCTAACGGTGGGCCTAGCTGCTACAACAAGAACCCAAAATGTGACTGTTGGAGGTTATTACCCAGGGGTGATTGTAAGTATAGAACTCCTAGGTAGGTCTAGAAAACTTATTGCCTACAAAGTCCTTTGTAATGCTGAAAATGTTATGAAGGGTGATCTTGTCCTGAATATTTTGCTCAGCTACTTCATTGCCATTTGATTTATTTGTTTTATTATTATTTTGCACCTGCTGCTCATTCCCATGCGAAAATCCCATCCAAGTGGCAGCTTCCTCTGAGCTTGGGTAATAACATGCTTTTGAGCTAGTGGTGAGACAGAWAAATAGGTTTTATATCAATCAAAGCAACCTTAGGACTTCTTTGTTTGTGTAGATCGCACAACCCCGGGCAAAGGGGTTGGCAAAGTAAGGCAAAGAAGGACCATGCTGCCAAAAGCAGCTGAGAGAGACCAGATCTTGAAATATTGGTGACATGAACTTGTGGTCATAAAGTTCACTTGCAGAAGTGTTTAACAGATTGGAGTCCCTGGATGAGGAGCTGTGGCAGCTTGCCAGGGGAGCATGTACATCAAAGCCACGAGCACATCCATTTCTTCTTTTTTGCTATCAGCAGCYGAAAATGGGAAAGGACAATCTTGTGCCTTCAAATGGCTTAATTTAGAGAGCACCACTGGTGTCCAGCCTTCATTCAGTTAGGTTTATACTGTCCTGCAGAAGCTTGAGGGGCAAGTACATCACGACCCTCCCAGCATGAGCAGAGGTCTAACACGAGCTGGAAAACAAGTCCTGCTCTGCTCCTGTGCATGTCTGAGACATGCTGAAAAAGAAGCACTGAACTGCAGTCAAACTGGGTGTCTTAGGAGGTTAAATGCAGCCAGAAGCCCCAGCTAGAGGCTCCTGGTGTAACAGCTGTACAGTGCCACCCATCTGGTTTGGAGCCTTGAATCTGGAGGCTTGAAACCATTCCAGACAACCAGGTGGAGACTTGTTCTTGCCTCATTGCTGTTTGATTTATTTGCCGTGTGTTGCTGATCTCAGGGAGCTTTACGCTGTGCTCCAGTCCTTCTATGGCTGAAGAAAGCCCCCTCACAGCCATTACAATGTGGAACATTGCTGCAGATTATGTTGGGCCTCTTTGGTTTAGGTTTTTTGGCTTGTCCCAGTGTCTCCTGCATGTAGGAGATCTTTTTSCAAGAGAAGTGTAGAGGGAAGGTGTTGAGAAAGGTGACAGGCTGGCTGCAGACTGTCCACACTCCCCCTGCACTGTGCCAGCCTGAGCTGAACCTCGTGCTCCAGAGCAGGTCCTGCAGATTGATGCAAATGGGCAGAGCCTGCTGTTCACGTCCCCTTGACATCTCCTGAGCTATTTATGGGCCGGGAACGTCAGCATCACTTACGCTTTTTAAAGATTTAGTCTACTCAAGGAATTAATGAATTCCTGGACTTGGGAAGGGCGTTGAGTTACTTTATTCAGAAGCACCCTGGCAATTTGTGTTTGTCACCAAATTCCCCCTCTCGGTTCATTAATCTGCTCTGTGGAAATGTGTGATGACCTCACCTGTCCTGCTGCACAGGAAAACATTTCAGTGTGCTGTTGGATGCTTCAGCAGGTGCTTAAAATAGCTGATGTTTCATAACAAGCTGGGATTTCTCCCTTTGCTGGGGAAAAAGGCGCCACTGGCTGTGGTGTGTCAGTATTTAGTGMGCTGTCCTCAAGCAGATAGAGCCAGAGGTCTCTTTGTATGAATGACTTCTCTGTGTGGGGACCAGTGCCATGGCTGAAATCATTTTATGGAACATAGAATCATAAAATGATAGGATRTTCTGAGTTGGAAGACMCATCAGAATCATYRAGTCCAGCTYYTGGACARCCCCAAGAATCAYACTTTGTGCATTGTCCAAACACTTCTTGAACTCAGACATGAGATGTCTCATTGCTGCCGTGACTTCTTTCCTCCTTCAGCTTGTATTTGTTGGGCAAACACYTCTTGTGCAAGGAGGAAGCATGCAGAGATGTTTGCTTCAGTGCAGGGGATTATCTTCCCAGGCCTCTGCTTCCAAGGAAGGACTGGAGACCTTCCACACGTCGGTAGGATTTCATTGGGCTGGGTTTTGGGAGGGTTTGAGCTTGTTTTGTTTTTTTTTCCCAAGCAGCTCAGTTCCTCTTTGGTACAACTGGAGAAGCTGAAGCAGAGGGTGCAGTGATATCCTGTAGCCAGGCTGCCTTCACCCTCCTCTGTGACCACCCAACCCTTCCCAACTCCATCAGTGAACTCCTTGGCTGTGTCTCTGCAGGAAATGTCACCCAGAGTACAACAGCGGTGCTCAGCAGATAAGAGTCAAGCTCAGGTGCAGAAGGCAAGCTCCCCTATGGAAGTGAGACTCGGAGATAAGTGTGTTGTCTCCAAGTTGTAACAGCTGCCAGAATCTGTGTCAATGCCTGACCTTTCTTAGGCTTTCACTGGCAAAACTCTTCTGTTATGGTTCCTTGCCAAGGATGTTGGCTTGAGGCTTTACTCTGGAAAAGCACATTCATTTTGTGTCCTGTCCTCCTTTCAGACAGACATCCCAGGGGATCACATCTACCAGCAAATAAATGATGCAACTGATGATCATTACTGAGATCTCCTTGTCCCATCCATGGAAGAATGAGTAGTTTTTCCATTAGTGCAATGAGAATTCCTGTTAACAAGAATCTACCAGTTTATTTGGTCTTCACCTGCTGGATGTACAGACCTGCTCTAATTTCTTCTTTTTGAATTATCTTAAATTATCTAAAGCATTTTACCTTTTGGTTTGAGGCTGCTCTGRAACACCATGTGGATATTTCTCTTAAAGCTCAAAGGACACAAAACATTTTTCTTGAGCGTTTGCCTTAGGCATGTGTTGCCACACAAGTTCCCTCTGCTAAACATCACCGGACTGCAAATTTTGCCTGGATCCACATTACTGTGAATGCCTGGATCTCCCAGGTTTTTATGCTTGGAATTGAACTATAAATATCCTGTTACTTGAGGAAGGTAGGGGTGTTATTTGCCCAAGCTGAGCAAMATAATAATCTCAGAAGCACTGCAGATCAGAGTGGGGCAGTTCAGCAGTGCCCTGGGTCTGTGCCCTGCCTGTCAGCCACTCYGGTGCAAAGCAGCCCCTGGTTTCTGCTGTGCTGCCACCATGGCAGTTTGTCCCTGCTGTGGGGACAGAGGTCCCTGATGTGGGGACAGTGTGAGGCAGGCAGCGGGGAAGCAGCAGCCTGATCAGCTGCTCTGCTTTAATCCCTGCTCTTGGAGCCAGCCACCCTCCCTGCSTGCAGCACTGCACCAAAGGTTACTGGGCTTAAGCAGGGCAAGCAAAGATTGAARCCCAACTTCTATCACATTTGTGTCTGCTGATCTCTGCACGTGCCTCTGCCTCTTCTTTTGGGATTTATTAAACTTTTGTTTTCTGTTCCGGGATTTTCAAGTATCAATTCCAGATTAGTTGACTCACTTTGAATCACTGCAGCTTGTCTCGTGCCTTGTTCTTCTTCCTGGGGAGTCAGACAGTTACTGGGCATTTTCACACGGATCTTTGCTGACCCCTGGTCTCTTGGCTGGATTTGCACCTCCTTAATTTGACAGATCCATCTGTAGGACTTTTCCAGCGTTTGTCATTTGCCAGCCCATGAAAGTGGGGTTGGATATGCTCTACACCAACCAAATTCCTTTCTCAGTGTGACACAGAATCACTTTTCCATCTCCCTTCTTAGTCCATGGCTCCTGCTTGAAGTCCCTGTTTCTGTCCTGGCTGAGGTGTGCTCTGTCCTAGAAACTTCCACTTAGTGTAGATTAAAGCTGTGGAGAAAGGAGGTGGGAAATTGCTCTCCTGGCTGACTTCACTAAGCTAAAATAGGTGTTGTCAGTTACAACAGCAAGGAAAGAACCTTTCTCTGCAGTAGCTTGTTCTGTTGGCTGGGCCGGTGTGAGCTCTTCTGGTAGAACACCCCAGTTGATGCATCCTCACCCCTGGAAATGAGGGAGGAGTCAGAGAAGGCAGAAAAATTCTATGCTGAATGCTGGAATGCTAAATCTTCTAAAGTAGAAATCTCCCTTATTTAATATTTCACWCTGAGTTAAAAACCCATGCTCAGTGAGGTCCCTGGACCCTGGTCCCACAGGTGTTGGTGCTGTGGTCCTGCTGGGTTTGCATCTGGAGACTCCTGAGTGTTTGTAGGGCTGTTCCAAGACAGCAGGGCAAATCCTCATCCACCAGCCATTTCCAGCATCACTGGGCAGGATGGAATTCAGAACTCATCCTTTTGGTTTCTGCACGTGCTTTTAGTGTCATGTGTGGGATACACCTGGTAGTTCCTGCTAGTGAGAGACTCCACTGATTTCTTGCTGAAGGAAGAGTGCTYACACATCAGCAGAATGTTCTTTTGCTGCTTCTGGATTTAATTATGTTCTGTCTGTGTGTAAAATATGTCGGGTATCATCCTGATCTAAATGCTAACAATACACTGTTTTTCAGCTCGGTTTTGGGTCGTTCCTTGGAATAATCGGATCAAACTTGATAGAAAACAAAAGGCAAATGGTAAGTGCTTTATAAAAACTTTTCTTAAAAAATGACAGTAACTCAAATATTGTATGTAAAGAGTATTATTTTAGGTTTTCCTAACTCTTCCAATGTAGTGTATCTCTTGAGAAGGGGAGATGGTTCCTGGTAGCCCAGGAGCAGCACTCAATGGGCACTCTGCCTCCTGCCCTCCATTCAGCTCTCCCAGGAAAGCGGCTGCAATCCCTCCCCGATGGTTGTCCCAAACTCTGGCAGTGAGATCCCTCCAGCCTTCCTCTCGGGCTGTCCCTGCAGCCTGTCCTGCTGGGCACTGCCTGCTTGGGCAGGGATGGAGGGGGCTCAGTGTGTGCTGCTGACCTAGGCTGAGGCCGGTTCTGCAAAGGCAGAGGGAGAAATTCCCTCCTGAACAAATCCAGAATCTGCCTCTGTGCTGCCTTTGCCATGCAGAGCAGGAGAGGGTGAGGGAGACCCTGCAGGAGGTGACATCTGCCTTTCCCACATCAGACAGGGTGCAGGGCAGGGGAGTTTCCCAGTGGATATTTTTTCTTGTTTTCACCCTGGCTGTGCAAGAGCAGCATATCCTGTTCTTTCTSTCATGTCGGTGTCTGCCTGAGCCACGACCATACCGTGCCAGCCCAGGACTCTTCACACCAGTGCCCACAATGACAGTGTGTCTCTGACTTGCCTTGTTTGGTTATTCTGAGGAGCCCTGGGTAGCCTGCGCTTTTTCTTTTCATCTCTCTTATCGTTTTGTGTCCTAAAAAACATTCGTGACCCAGCTTTGCAGGGATTGCATCACTGCTGCCTGGGCTGGCAGCRAGCGTGTCTCCGCTCTGACCGCAGAGAGGACCCGCAGTAGCTGTCACTTATTGTCCCCGTGCTTTAGTCACACGTCCTCCTTGCCCAGGAGCACTTCACAGTGGCAGCTTTGTCCATTGCATGTTTCCRTAACACCACTGGCCGTGGAGGATTTATTTTTTTTATCTTCTCTGAACTTCCCCTGTGCCCTAGTTAGCTAAAAGGCAGCGTTAGTCTGGCTTGTGCAGCTGAGGGCAGAAACAGCCAAAAGCAGCTCCTGCAGTTGTGTTGTTGTTGTGTTTGTGTCAGTGTGAGGAGTGCAGTGAGCCTCAKAACCAACCTGACCGAGCACTTCTCACCCATCCCGACAGCTGACAGGAACAGAKCTCTCTGCTTTTCCTCACCCCAGTGAATTGACTCCCATGCCATGCTTTTACAAGGGAAGGGAGGGATTTGTGTCCACAGGGCGGGCCAGCTGTGCTCCCACGCAGCTCTGCACACACACCCTGCCCACTCAGCAGCTCCCAAGTGAGGAGTCAGCAGTTTACATCCCTTTGTGACAGCCATCCGTGCCATGGAAAAGGGAGACCCAGCAGCTTCCTGGGCCCTGTGGGGCTGCACCATTGCCCAAAGGGAACCTCAGCACAGGACACTCCTGCTTTGCCCTCTCCAAACCCAATTTGTCTTGTTGTCCAAATGCTACTCGGTGTGGCTGACTTCATCTGGAGTTAGATGARTGAAGATCAGTCAATAATATCACACAGCTCGAGAGAGGGACTTCTGCTTGCTACAGTAACAGTATTATCAACCCCAAATCAGAAATCTTATTGGCAAGTTGGAAACTGTGATTTTTAAATTGATTTGTATATTTCAATTTGCTGTTTGTTTTTTTTTCTCTATCATAAATTCTCAGTGTTTGGTTTTCAGGCTTTTCGTTCTACATCTGAGAGAGAGGAAACTATGTAAATAAAGTGAGCAAACCCATTTCTAGCAKGAGATCCTTATCTCTTGGTAGGGCTGTTACGAAAGTATCATCATTAACCTTGTATTTATTTTAAACCACCATATTAGCAGCTCCTATCTGTGAGCAGAGATGACCGACAAATTCCCTAACTGTATATATTTAGTGTTTGGCTCACTTCCCATCTCCAAGGCTCATGCTATTTAGGGAGAATATCCTCTTTCATGTGTGTATGAAACAAAGGACAGTACTGAGAATAACTAAACTTGCCACGAAATAACCTAAGCCATAAACCCCATTTCTTCCACTGACACTGCACTTTCTCTCCTCGTGTGGTTTCACTGGTTTGGTAGTGAGCAAGTGTGGCTCTGTAATGGATAGGGTGAGTTGGGATCCTGACATGGAAATGCTGGGGCTGAGTGGGGAGGAAATGCAGGAGTTTACAGCTGACAGGAGCAGGAGCAGAGCAGGATCTGTCCTGGAAAGATTGTCACCTGCTGCCATCTGCAAGTGCTTTGTGGCACAGCATCTGGTACTCCAGGAGCTGCTTGTTGTGACCATGAGGTGCTTGTGTGGCCACTGGGATCATTTCAGAGCCTGTTCTCTGTGCAGCTGTGGGTTTGATGTCAGTGCCTCAAATCCTTGCCTCATCTAGAAAACCATTTTATTTTCTCCCATTTTKAAGTAAGCAGTTGTACAGGGGCCACTTGCACTGTCCCAGGTGAGTCCTGTGGCATCTCCAGTCATTGTTCAGGCTGATCTGATCTCTTACTGGAACAAGGTCTGGTTTCAATGAGGGAGATGTAGGTAACACCAGTGTGATTAACCTACAAATCCCGAGGTACTTTATAAACACACATAGGATCCTTCTGGACTGTGTTTGCCAGGGGGGTTGTGTTCTCAGCAGCATGTTTGTCAGGTGTTATGTTTGTCAAGGGGTAAGGGTTCGCAGCAGCAGCTCCCCACAGCTCCAGGGTGAGGAGAGAAGAAAATCTCTCCTTTCTCTCCAAGGGGGAGTTGAGGACAAAAGCAGCCAGAAGAGGAGGTGTATTCTCAGCCCAAGTTTAGCCTTTTGGAGTCATGGAAAAACCTGCATTACTCTGTGGAGTCCCCAGAGAGCCCGTCTGGCACAACGCTCCTCCTCTGCCATCAGCAGGACCAGCCTGTGCAGCCAGGGCAAACATTGGGTCATTGATTGCTTGAGGGCTTATTGACCGTGGTTTACATATCCTTGTGCAGAGGGCCCAGATCACTTGGTTGTGCAGAGGCAGGTGATACTTTGCTTTGTTTTTCTTTCTCAGCTGGTTGCATCGATCGTCTTCATCAGCTTCGGTGTCATCGCTGCGTTCTGCTGTGCCATAGTAGACGGCGTCTTTGCTGCCAGACACATAGTAAGTGCTTTAGCAAAACACAGCTCCTGCACTGCTTTTACTCTAAGGAAACRAGTGATGGTCTCTGCAAACCTGTATCAGGCCTCATCAAACCCTGTAAACATATATCATGTTCTGAATGCTGCTTTAAATCATGAGCTTTAGAAAAATGTTACAATTTTTTACAAAAATATTTTAAAATTAGTGAGAAGCACCAAGACCTTAAAGCTTTGCTTTGGGTTTTTTTTTGGCTTTATGTGTTTACTGAGTCTCACAACTCTCAAGATGTAATGTGAATTACAGCTATCACCCAGGGATAAGGTATGAGCAGTAACATCCATTTTGTTTTAAATGTAGGCAAAGCTAATTCTTAATGCAGAGCGAATCACTGGATGCTGTAGTAGAATGAAGCCATTTGATACGAAGCTCATTGAAGCGTTACAGTATAAAAGGGAAACATTTGCTGCAGGTTCTCAGTTTCCATTTGGTGACTTAAAAAAATTATAAGCTGCTGCTGTCGTGACCAATCACTAGCACAGTGGGATGTGCAAAAGCTTTAATTATTACTATAGGAATAAAAAGACACAATTCCATTTCAGCTTTTTGATCGAAATTTATAACTGCAAACAGATTTTTGTCCTGCAACCATTCAATTTGATGACTTTTTTGAAATTTTTGGCAAAAAGGGATTGAAAAGACAGATTTGGAGTTTACTTGTATCAGAATGAAATGGCATGTCAGAAGGTCAGCATTACTCATGAAATGGAAACTCCCTGTGTCAGCTGGCAGGTTATGCTCCTTGTGAAGCTGGCTCTTCTTTCCTGCCCCTGAGTATTCCAGGGTAGAAAGGTGGCAGGATTTGGTGACAGAGCAAAGGGCAGCTCCACTCTGCTGTGTGAYATGTGTCCAAAACCAGCCGGTCCTGGCCACCTCTGACCCCCTTTGCAAGGGTGTGAGCTCATGGCTGGGTTTTGGGGTGAGCTGGCAGCTCCTCCCAGCTGGCTCCGGGGGTGGCTGCGTGTCTGAGGCAATGAGAGCTGAGCAGCTGGGATGGCAATGGCTCTGGTTTCTGCCTCTTGATGAATGGAYGGGCTTTTGGCCTCATTTTACCACCTGACAGTCCAAAAGTGTCACCATCTTGCTGGGGACATGCTGCTGCCACGGCAGCACACATCATTCTCCCTATTGCCTGTGCTGCCACTGCTGTGCCACCCCGAGCTTTGGATCAGACATCTTCAGAGCCAGTCTGGCTGCTCTGGGCAGGGCTCGATGATGTGGGTACCCTCCTACACCTCCAGCACTGCTTTCCCTGAGGTTTTGCCCTGGAGACTGAGCTGCCCCARAGGAACACATTAATGCATATTTGCAGGCTGAATTGCTGGTGATCCTCCACAGCTTTCCCACAAGACATTGAAGAGCCCAGGAAAAACAAATTTGCCAGCAATTAACGAGAAATTGTTATGATTCAGCACGCAGAGCCCTTAGAAACAGGTCAGGCAGACCTGGGATGTGTCTTGTAGGATGAAGAATAAATGCTTCAGTTCAGCATGGCCACCACCACCCAAGGAGACCCAAAGAGACTGTTSTTCCTGTGCTGTCTGTAACAAAACCAGGGTTAAACATCACCCCAGGCTCGGGGTGGGGTCTGCAGAGCAGCTGCTGTATTGAGGTGCTGGTGTGAGATCAGGGTCTCTCTAAAGCCTGGTCCCTTTCCCCAGTCCCTTTGGCTGATTTTGGTTCTGCTGCAGGGCTGAGCTGGTGCTTTTTTCCCCGGCAGGATCTGAGGCCACTGTACGCGGGGCGATGTCAGTACTATTCCAAGAGCACGACCCCACCAGAGGTGAGAGCAGGTTCTGCTGTGTCCTGTGACAGCTTCTTGGTGCAGGGGTAGGAACCTGCTGCCAGACAGCTGCTGCAGTGTCCTGGAGATCTGCAAAGTGAAGAGGGGGTGGGAGGTTGGGCCTGGGGCAGGAGCAGGATGCTGGGAGGATTTGGGWGGTGAGTTCCTCCATGCACTGCCTCATTAGAGATGGAGCAGATGGAGAGGAAGGGATGTGGGATAGGAAAATTCACCAGTTTCTCTGGATCTTTAGTGGGTTATGGCTTCAGACAGCAGTAATTTCTGGGGATTTGAGCAGCATGGACCAGCCTCTGTACCTCTCTTGTTGTCTTCTCCAAAGAGAAGCCTGYTGGGGAGGGACGATCCTGCCACATACTGATGGTGTGTATGAATGTCCTTGCCTTTGCTGAGCACTGATTGTCTCTCACTTGTGATTGTCCTCACAAGTGCCCAGGTAGCTTTGGATAACCACTSTATTCCAAATTAGAATGCTTGCTTGAGGTGCCAAGTCCTCCTCAGCAGCCTGGGCGTGGTCCACTCTCTTCTCCAGCCAAGGGCTGAAATGTGTGAGCTTGGCTGTTACCACCCTGCAGACAATTAATCCCTGATGAGTTCTGCCCCTCTGCGGGAATCTGGCTGTTCTTTTGGATCATGGACAGCTCTGCTGTGCCTTGCTGTGGGGTGAGGTTCTTTAATTCAGCAGCTGCCTGTAAGAGTTGCGAAACCTCCTTCCTCTGCAGGGAAGCGTTTGTCTGAGTTCCCCACTCGAAAGGAAGCGCTGGGCTATTCTAGTCCAGTGAGTCTCTGTTCTGTTAACGGAGGACTTTTTAGGAGCAAGATAAGAAAAATCTGCCTGCGGCTAATCCGGAGATCACTGAGAAATCTACATGTAAAACAGTGCAAATAGCAGCAGAARCTATGTTTGGGGATTGTGTGGTTCCGTGCTTTATGTGTTTTTTTCTGTATTCACACAGGCGGTCTGTCACCCACAGCGCCGTGCCCCTTGCACGCCGAAAATAAAAACCAACACCTGYTTCTGCTGTGACCTGTACAACTGTGGGAAGTAAGCCAAAAATGCCRCTCCTGGCCCTGGGAAGGGCGGGCAGTGGCCGTGCTCTTTTGCAATAGTTGCTCGCAGGATGCTGTCGGTTAATGACGGTTGTTGTGGGGAGGAATCTTAAGCTCTGTTTGTTCAAGACAAAGCAAACCCGGTAAAAGAGGGTGTAAAACACACCACGGCCATCGCAGCTGTGCGTGAGCATGCTCTGGGCAAGCCCAGCTTCAAAAATGAAGAGCACTTTCCATTATTTTCATGCTTAGTGTCCTCCTCATGTTTTTCACCTACTGAGTGTCCCTTCTCTTAACACCTTCCTTCTCCGTTGGCACTGGGCCTTTTTTTTGTTTTAGAATATTGAAGATGCAAAAACTGGGACACTGTTTGTCCTCACCTTGTCACCATTTCATTCCCCATGTTGCAAACAGAGAGGAGAATTCACAGGCTGGTGCCATCTGTGTGTTCATAAATCCATGTCCTGTGTGCCCAGTGAATGTCTTTGATGGTCACACGGGGTTGGAAGGTGAACCAGCACYGTGCAATGACTCAGAAGGTGGTTACCAACCGAGAGCCTCTGCACAGTGATCACACCACTGAGATCTGGCTACTGTGCCTAAACCAGCTTAATTTACAGCTTATACCATGTGGAGTGTCTAATRTGTGTCAGCAAGCAATTAATAAATTGATTTTTTTACTGCTGGCTCTTGCCTGGGGCTGTTTCAGGCTTAGCATTTCTCACAGTACTTATCTGGGCTGGCCCCCACTGAAATCATTGATCGTGGTGGAGGAAGATCAAAAGCTGGTGTTGGGAGAGGGTGGGTGGTTCCCTGTGCTGGGAATCGTGATCCCTGGTCTCTGTAGGACTTTGTGGGTGTAAAAGAGGGGTTAAGCTCATCCTTTCCTTGAGCAGTTTACAGAACACAATCCCGTTTACTAGCTGAAGATAGCAATACACAGAGAAGTGATTAGAACAGAAAAGCTTGGAACTTTTCTGTATTTATTTTRCTTTTGTTCTTCCCAGTCAGGCTGGTCCAGGGACCTGCCCCGGAGCCATTTCCTCCTCTCTGATAAAAGATATCAATTGTTGCCATTTTAATCTTGCTTTGTACCACACAAGCATCCACCGAGGAGGTGCCAGTTCTTTTGGGATCTCAGTAAGAGAGGCACTGACACTCAAGACTGGTTAGTGCTGATGTAAAGGATGGAAATCACTGAAAAAGTGACAGCAATCTTGCATCGTCCTGATTCTGGGAATGCTGGCTGTAGCAGCATGGGATGAATCCCTTCCCATGATAAGGGACATGATAATGAACCCCTTCCCGTTGATCAGGACATGCTGAACAGCTCRGGGTGTTCTCTTTGATGCACCAAGGCCCTGGGAGCTCTGTGCTCTCCACATCTCCATAGGAACSAGCACACAGCACACTCAGTTTGTGTTGTTGGAGGGTCACGGTCAGAGCTCAGGGTACACAGAGGTCGTGCCAACCTCCACACAGGTTTGTGTAACCTGTGCTTATGATCTGCCTCCATTCTGCTTGAAATCCCTTTCYCCTCGTTGCAAGGTCTCCTGCAGTGGCCTGCTACAATGAAATGTGGGAATAAAAAGGGCAAAGAAGCTGAAATTGAGTAACGAGGGAAGGAGGGTGACTCCTGTGAAAGGGAGTGGTTTCCTGCAGACCTTGTGGAGTCTGCTGGGGAGCTGTGCYTGGATCTCCTGCTTCTTGACCTTAAATGTGAGCCTGTTCTTTCCACTCTCCCCAAAGCTCTCATGCACTTGGAGCCTACCCCTGGGTGTGAGCTGGCAGATAAGYCATTCATAAGCTCTTGGTACTGTTTGTCCCTGATAAATAAGTTTTCTRAAGGGGAATTTGCTGTAGGACACATCTGGTCAGCCTTGCTGAGGCGGTCAGAGAGAATTTGTTCCTGAAGAATTCTGCTGCAGGACTCCAGCCCACATGTTGTAGGAGCTCTTCCTTTCCCAAAGAAGTCACCTAACCAGATTTGACTGAGTTTTCTCCGTCTGGTGGAAAAGCTGCCTGTGGAAAAGCTTCGAGGTGTGAACAGGAAGGCAGGAAACCAGGGTGCTGTAGAGCTGTGAGGGGAGCAGGGCACAGCTGGACGTGCTCGGTGGCTGAGCCCTGCAGAGCCAGGGGAGCTGTGCTGCCCTATGCCTGTCCCACTCTGCTCCCATCCCATCCCATCCCATCCCATCCCATCCCATCCCATCCCATCCCATCCCATCCCATCCCATCCCATCCCATCCCATTCTCTGTGGCTGTGAGGAGCAGCCAGCACTGCCCTGGTGCAGCTCCTCGGGGCACAGACTGATTTCCCAAGGTAATTCCAAGACTGGTTTGTCCTTGGGAAGCCTCCAGAGCCTCTGTGGAGATTTCAGAAGAAAGAAATAACTGGCAGGTTCAGACACAAAGTCATTGGTTTCAGAACAGAGCGAGCTCTTCATTCAGGGAGATCTTGGATGCCACAAGCACGGGATCTCAGAGGCTTTATCCCCACTCCCTCTGTAGAAAGGTCCAGATTTCCATGAATTGCAGAATGCATTTCACTGTCCAGCCGTAGTGCTTAGATTTTATGACATGTGGTGCATTTTTTTATCATTACTGTTGGTTTTTTTTCCTAATCTAGCCGGGTAGAGATTTCTGGAGGGTACTATGAATACATTGATGTCAGCAGCTGCCAGGACATCATCCACCTTTACCATTTGCTCTGGTCGGCGACGATTCTGAACATAGTTGGGCTGTTCCTGGGAATCATTACAGCAGCAATCCTYGGAGGCTTTAAAGACATGGTAAGAGGGTATCAATTTCTCTGTGCATTAAAGAAAACAAATCAGGCAAATTGTCTTTTAAAAAAATCATGAGAACTATTGGTATTTCAATGCAAATAATCTTTGCATTACTGCAATCAGTGTGGAAAGAAGGACAAGAAATAACTGTAAGGAAAAAGTGGAAGTGATTTATTTTTCTGATCTTGTTGCCACCACCTGAGCACAGTTAGAAAAGATTAACAGAACTGAGTGATTGTATTTTCAAAGGGAACCTTCACAGAGGTGTTGGCAATACCAGGATGATTAAAAATAAGCTCTTTCTTAAAAATTGATCTTCCTTTGCATAGCATTCACATTCTACAAGGGATGTGTGGTGGTTGCTCATTAATTGTTGATTTTATAGTAGCAGTCTGAGCTTTACAGACTGTTGAAGCAGCTGTGTAAGGCTGAAACTCTCCATCTAATTTCTTCATGGTGCAGAACCTGAGAGGGTGATCTGGGGAWCAAAACCAAACTTCAGATAATGAGAAAACCCTGTTCTGACAATGTGGGCTTTGAAATACCCTCACTTAACCAGGGGGCCTGTCACCTTCCATGCAGTTTTATTCTAAACAGCACAAGTGAATGGGTAGAACTGAATGTTCAACAGATGCATTTGGGGTTTTTTCAGTCTCTTGTGACTCATTTGGAATAATACAAAAACAGACACATAGAAAAGAGCATTTGTTGTCCTAGCTATATGTTTCTCTTACAAAAGAATCTTGGGCCCTGCACTAAGGGTACCTTATTTCAGAATTCTGAACTCTTTTCAGACTCACCACTATCTTCCCAAATAAAACAGGAGACACATTCCCAGCTGTGCATTTTAGCTCTTTTAGATTTGATCCACACCAGAAATCTGTAACCCTGCAAAAAGAAGATATATTGAAGTGTCTGTGAACATCAGTACAAGAGGAGTTGAACTATCTCAAAATGCACTGAATAACAGAGTAATCAGAATTAATGGATCATTTCTCCTACTTGTGAAGATGTAAATCTGTTTTGTGTGAATACTGGTGTGCACTGGGCTGCTGCCAGCTTGTTCTGTGGAATCTGAGAGGAAACAAAAGTGTCTGTGGAATGAAATAACCTTGGGATTTAGCTGCAGCCTGAGAGGGAACTGGATTGCTGGTTGCTAATTCAACAGAGTTGAGGTCTAAAGATACACAGAGCTCCTTTAAATCCYTTCTGCTTTCATTCAGCTGCCAGGTTTCCATGACTGGGTTAACAGCTCTCTCTTCTTTCTGTTTTTGACAGACTCCTTCCCTCCCTACGCTGAACTGCACGGTTGAAAATGCACAYCCTTCAGTGACCTACTACTCCAGGCCACAAGTGACATCTTACAACAGCTACTACCACAGCACTCCTCACCTGCCTCCCTACTCTGCCTACGACTTTCAGGTGGGCAGCATTACAGGATGTGTTCTTGTTTAGCAGCAAGGTTAAATCCAGCCAGTCTGSAGGACTCTGGGGGCCTGTCTTCCTGTCATTCACACCGTTTAATTTTCTTGTTCCCGTAGAAAATGGTGAAATTTTCCTACTGGGCACTGGTCCTTGGGAGTGCTCTCTCTTACTAAGGCAGTTTTTTCCTGAAGGTTGTCCTTGCAGTGRARRCAAGAGGTTCTGYTRCCTRYRTCCCTCCCCATCCCTCACTCGTTGGGATCACATTAAAAACAGGCACTGCCCCTGGCACTGCAGTGTTCTGAGAGAGGCTGGGTGTTCAGGTGCTGGATTTTATGAGACCAGCTGTTGTGTCTGAGAAAAATAGATGAGCTTTTGGAAACAGGATATTTGAGCTCCTGAAGACACGTGATGCCTGGAMAGCTATTTTGTTGTGGTAATTTTCCACATGTTTCAGATGGTCTGAGGTGTCCCTGCAAGCATTACCTCTGCTATAATGCATCCCTTCCTCTTTGAGGACCTATGTGCTGCTGGAAATGGTGATTTCATGTGAACCTTGCTGTCAGCATCAGCTTTCACTTATTGAAGCAGGTGAGGAAAGCAGGTTTCCTCCTCAGCTCCTCTGCAGGTTACCACAGGGGTGATGTTAATTAACATGTCATACAGCCATCAGGATTGGAGACATTTTTTAATTAACAAGAGTTTAAGATCTTGGACTTAGCTAAGGATCAGCTAAGAGGTGGGCTCTGTGATAGCCACCACACCCCTCATCCTAGCCATGCATTAGAGGTAACATGAATTWAAACATTTCTGGGTTTGCTGCTAGTGCCACTGGACCAAGTTGTTGTTAGGGCTCCTGGATATAATTGAACATTTATGTCAGAATTTCTGTGATGCATTTATACAAATTTGTGACTCATTTTTGAGATTAGTAAAACCTGGGGCAGTCGCTGGTGTTGTATCACTCCCTGCAGTTACAGAAATGTCAATCTCAGTACATGGCAAACCAAGCTCTGCTGCAGAGTCCTCTTCTCAATTTCTCAGCAGTTCTAAGCACTGTCTGCCCCAGGGTTTGTCAGTGTGGCAGCYCCAGAACCTGCAGAGAGCTCAGCAGGGGTGATTTCCCTGCTTTTTAACTGGAGGTGCTGCTGGGCTCTGCTAACAGCTCAGCCAGAYGGATCAAAGTCTCTGGGTCTCACTGCTGAGAGCACAGGTGTTGGCTTCAGAGCTGGCTCAAAAACTGGGCAGAAATTCGGGTAATCTAAATTTAATATAGCCAAGTGTTTCCTTCAAATGCAATTCCCAGTCTGAGCCTTGGTTATCTTGGGGAAATGCCTGGATGGGAGCACTGGCTGAGCCTCTGGCTCTGGAGGCTCCCTTGCCTTGAGCTCTGCTCTGCTCCCAGCAGTGGCTGCACCATCCTGACCCCTTCTCCCCTGACATTCAGAGCACTCGGAGCAAACCCAGCCTTCCCTCTCCAATCCCTTCCAAAGGATGCACTCYCTCTGCTGCAAGAATGCCTTCCCACTCATTCCACGCATTTTTTTCACAGGACAAAAACAACCCACCAGGATTCCTGAGGAAACCTGGGCCCTTGTAAAAACCTGGCTTTCACACCCAACTCTAAAACAGCAGTCCCAGCTCTGGTTTTCGGGGCATCCCTTTCATTTTTGCTACTGGSTGGTGTGTGAAACCCAAGGTTTGAGAAGAGCTCATCAATTTTCAGTTGTCCAGTCTTTGCGAAATGCAGCAAGCCTACAGAAGTGATGAGAAACAAATTTTTAAAAACGTCTTCAGTTTTGAATCTAGGAGCCTCCTCTTGCAAAACGTTTGCTTACAGGCTGTGCTGACCTCGAATGCAACAAGTTATCTGAAGTGTTACTTGTATGAGCCTGATTTGCAGCGGTGRACCTTGAAATGTTAATTTTGAACTGTTTGGTAAAGAAACATGGCTCGCACGAGGTCGTTTCCAGCAGGAATTGGTTACATTCTAGCCTTTGCTGTCTTCCTGCAGCATTCCAGCGTGTTTCCAGCCTCCACTCCTTCTGGGCTCTCGGATGACCCGCAGTCCCTGTCACCATCTCCCAGCTACATGTGGGCATCCAATGCGCCGCCTCGCTACTCGCCACCCTACTTCCCACCTTTTGAAAAGCCACCACCTTACACACCGTAAAGAATGTGGGAAAAAAGAAAAAAAAATTCGCCATTGAAATAATTGTGAACATTTTGTATTTATATTTTACTGTGGGAGGGAGCGGGAGAATAGGTGCGGAAGATAATTGCAAATACAAATATTAGATTGGGCTGTTCTTTCCTGCGAGACTTATTTCAGAAGTTTAACGATGGCCTGTGACAAAGGGAACAGACTGCTGATGTTTTAATGAGTCAGTGGGTAGCAGGTGACCTAAATTTCAGCCTCTTTTGTTCATGTAGTCCTTGATTTTTAATAAAGTGATCCGACACAGATGACAGATTCTGGTCTGCCTTACTCCACCTTGTGCCAAGCTGAAGTAAGGGTAGCCAAGATCAATAGCTGCTAGAGATTATCCATCTGTTTGAGGTGAGGGGGTTTGCAGACAGCATAACTCAACRCTGGTTTTGTTTGGCCTTTGGGCTCCAGTTGTTGGGATTTTGGGTGGGGGGCACAGGACCTAGCTCACAACACTCATTGGCTCAACACACTGGAAAAATTTTGGGGGGAGCTGTGACAGTGCCTCACAATGTAACCCTGTAGAAAAGGATAACAYCATAGGATAGTCCCATGTAGGTTCTGCAAAATTATCAGAATATTGCTTTTTTGAAGGGTAGAAAGCCTTAACAGGCAAGCTGTTTTTATTTCAGGTTGCTTTTCAAGATAAAAGGTGAAATGGAATTGYCTCTGAATTCTGTGTAAGTAACGTTGAAGTCAAACAGTTTGGGTGGTTGCACTGCCTAAATTGTCCTTGCATTCCTATAAAAACCATCAGGAACTGTCTACAAGACACTGAAACAGTGCAGTGAAAATGTTATTTATTTATTTATGTTTGTTTGTTTGTTTGTTTTTTCTTTGGTTGGGAATTTCTTTTTAAACTTTTAACTTTTTTAATGGACTGAATCAGCACCCTGAATAAGCAGTTTTAGTAGCTGTATTTTGGGCTGCACATAAGGAATATCCACTACTAGTTCTCCAAGATGTAAGTCTCACACGGATGAAATTCAACACCCTGTAATATAGGAYGAAACCGAGGAATTTGCAATTACTGTTGTGACTTTCATTTACTCTTCAGCTGATGACTGTGCTGATTGATCTAGATTCCAGCAGATTTTGCATGCATCCTGCATAACACAAGGTCAGCTTTGATATGTGACACACTGACCTGTAAAGTGTGGTTCTACTCCAGGAAGTGATTTCAGATGACAGTGTTCAGATCTGAGCTGCTCAGCCTGAGCATTCTCAACTGCTTTCTTCAGGGATAAAAACAACATTGACATTTTACTCCTGATTTCCTAAAGATGTAATTTCCATCAGTTTGTTGACCCTAATTCTCAGTTGCCTGTCTTTACTGGCAACTGATAGAGAMAAAAAGGTACCTAAAAGTTAAGTCTGGTTTTCAGGATCAAAATGGAATTCATGCTGGTGGGTTAGGCAGAAATCCAGTTAGATTTTAAACTGTGATGACACCTATTTTTAATTCTTTTTTTTTTTTAATTTAAGTGCTGTCAACATGGAAATCAAACACTGAAGTCTCTGATCTCACTTTTCAAAGTACACCCACACTTTATAATGCTGTTTTTAATCCTATGCATTTGCAAAGCCTTTAGGCTAGACTRTGTGTTAACTTTATAATTTCCACTGTCAAATACTAATCAGTATATTAGTTCATTAAAGGATGACACTTGATCCAGAAGCAAGCGTGACTTTTCTCCAGTAAAAAGGGAAAAGAAACAGCTGGAGAAAGGAATTCAACTCATGGGATTTAAAGCAGTAGTGTATGTAGAACATATCCTGGTGGCATTTKGTTTCACTATAGAATGTTGAAGCGCAGCTCCTATAAATTTGCATACTGGAAATAAATTTACATACTAGGGTATCCTCCATTTTGTATTACATTTTACTGAATTAAATCTTGATAAAGAGATCATGGGCAACTTAAAAACAGACAGTACTTCTCTTGATAAAACTCCCCCACAAAACTAGAATCAGAAGGGCACATTAATTTAGTTTCAGGAAACATTTTATTGCTGTATCTTTGAAATAAAAGTTAACACTCTACCATTTGTGCCTGTCAACTAAATAGGGCTAGAAGGACTAGGGGACACCACAGGACATGACTGAAAATCCTGAAGATTGCAAAACTTAGTGGCAGAGAAATMATTAGGAGATGATGGTGCCATTGGTTTTGAGTTGAAAAATACTACCCTTAGGAAATTACCCAAATTATCTTTTTTTTTCCTAAGGAATATTAGAGCAAAAATTACATTGCTGCTTTAAATTCACTATAAAAGGATAAGTACATTTTCACATTTAAAAACGTACTGGTGGTATTTTCTGTTGAATTACCTGTTTCGTTCTGCTTGAGTAAAACTAAGCGTTTAATGTAACTGCAACATTCTGCACTGTATTTGTCATTTCTTATGAGAATGTCAAGTTTGTGACTCATATGTACCCTTTTATTACTTTACCAAAGTTAAATAAAATCGTGTGATTTTTGTAAACATTTATAAATTCCACTTTACATTTTAGCATCTTCCCTGTTTTACAAGCATCTTTAAGGCTATGTGAGAAATGCAAGTAAAATCTGCATTAAAAAAAATTAAGGCAAAAAACCACCAACAAAAATAAAACTCATCTCTATTCACTGTATTGGAAAATAGTTTCTAACAGGATCAGCCAGCCACCTTTTTTTAAAATTCTGTCTTTGAAGGCCCCAATGTCCCCACTCTTCATAATTCTGCAGTTTTACCCACATAACATGGTGCCCTGACCTCAAGCATTGTAAAGTCATTTACTCAAACTGCTGATTTTTCATGTAACACAGATCTGACTAATCCAACCAGTGAAGTCTTGGTGTCTCCTTTGCTTACTTTGGGCCCAATTCTGTCCTGATGATRTCAGCTGCTCCTTGATGTCAGCAGAGTGAGGATGAAGCTCTATGCCAAGGAGATAAGGGCATCTAAAACATAATTTGTTATGTTATTTATTGAATGACATTCTTTATGTGTAATAAGAAGTCTACACAAAGGAACCAATCATCTCATGCTGGCCACAGGTCACCAACAGTGGAACTGCTATGAATCACTGGTAAGAAGAGGAACCCAAACTATGRGTGAGCTGAAAGCACTGCACTGGTCACTATGTATGTTTTACTGGTCTCTATGGACATTTTACGGGTCACTAAGAATGTTTTTCTCRACTTTAAGCTCATTTGCAATGCCAGCAGTTGGTCAGACTGTTCCACAGGAGCTCTGCCTGTCCTGAGAGTTCCCGTCTCTCCCATCTATCGCAGCATTCGGCTCACAACACACTGGAGTTGTTGAGCTAATTTGCTTTCTTGGAAAGTGTTCAATAAAAACAACTAAATAGCATCAAAACAAACAAAACTAAGGCCCAAATAAAAACACCTTTCCCTGTTTCCCSCCACAGTGGGTTCCCAGCTGTTCCCAAAGACCTGGAAAAGGAAGCTACAAACATGTTAGACTGTCGAAACTAAGTTGCCATTACAAAGAAACATACTACACCCATATTTAGAATTAAAGTTTTTTTATTTTTGCCATAGAAAGCTCTAAGAACTAATATCAAGTATTGATTAATGAAAAGTAGAACACAACTTTAAAAAGTATGTTAAGGAAAGACTGTACAACTATATACATCACAGAAAACCAAGGAAATGTTTCACACGGAACATTGCCTAGGCAATAGCTGTAGAACTCAGAATTCAATGTATATAGTTGYCAGCTTCTGCATCCTTTTACAAGCTGCATGCCTTAACAGAACAAAATAAATAAGCAGCRGATGTTATTTCAGTATTTTTTAGTTCACATAGTGGAATGTTATGGTAGGAATCCCCAAAGAAACCAAACAGTGAGGATGCAGCCACCATTACCATATTCTGCAGCAGATCTGTTAATAGTTTTATATGCATAATAAATGACTGTGAGGTTTGCTACCTTAGTCTGTTGAAATTTTTAATTCCCGTATAAATGCTTTGTCAGATTCAACCTTTTTCTTCCATTACCCCAAAGCCAATTTCTTAATATTTACATAAGCTTTTTCATTTAAGTTAAACTGGAAGTTAAATGCTTACAAAAACAAACAAAAACACAAATATAAGTGCAATAGCCAGAAATCTAAATATAAAAGATCACTCATGGCCCCATAAAAAGTTTCAAAAGAATGAATTTAACATGTGTTCAAACCAATAAATACCGGAAGTGAAATTCAAAAATGCTTTACATGATCTCTGGACTTTGGATATTAAAAATCACTTCCAAGGAAAACTGAAGACCCTGAGACACATGCAAGCACGAGTCTTCTAGCAAAAATAGTTACAAAGCCCTAATTTTCCAGTTTTCCTCCAAAAAGAGACCTTTACTAGGCACAGTTTAATTTAAGGTTTTAAATATATCAGCAGCAAGTAGTGATAGCCATTACGTTTAATTTTGCACACTCTGTAATGTATGCTTAATTCCAGATCCCCTTACGGGCCTTAATTCAGCCAAGAATTGGACCTGATGGTCCTTGTGGRTCCCTTCCAACTCAGAATGTTTTGTGATTGAACATGTATCATGCCAATAACAAAAATAACATTKTATTTGTCTCATCACAAAGTTCAGCGAGTCGAACCATAGCACCARCCAGCTGCCTCCTGCACCGACACAGGCAATCCACACTCATTTCACATGRGGAGAATGTTTGACTGCAGAAATGCCACCTCAGTTACATCCCACATTTAAAGCATGTCCCAGTGTATTCAAAGGGGTCTGCAATATGATCTGGAAATAATCAGGTATACCATGTTCTTGGCTGACAAAAGAGAAGTGCTGAGCATTGCATGCACCAGGTAAACAAATCCTCCTCCCATCGTTGCTCACATGGATTTCTGGTATCCTTCTTAGTAGCTYGAGTTATATTTGAACCATTTACCATTTAAGTGCCTTTCTGCCTAGAGTACYACATGTCTAAAACCTTTAACTTTGAAAGTCATAGACTCAAGATGTTTACTTAAAACAGGAAAAAGAGAAACCTGTAACTGCAATTTGCACAATTAAAGGTTTCATTAACTAGTACTATCCACAACAGCCTTTCTCAGTCACCTCTAGAACTTGAGGAGTTTTCATATTACCATTTACAAAAATTCAACAAGTCACTAACTCTGAAATGCTAAACTATGACTCCAATAAACAGCTGTTTGTTTTTTCTCAGATCTACCATTTYCCGACCAAGCTGGACATCTAATTCAACTTCTAAGTGCTTAAACAGGCACCARTTGCAAGGAGAATAAAAGGGCAACATAATAAACCCAAACCTGGAAACAGATGACAACTAGACAACTGCAGAGAGGTTATACTCAGGGTCGTGGTGAATAAAGGGTATTTTTTGATATTTGGTTTAGTCCTCATCTTCYACAATGTATAAATGGGGGATATCTAAATTCCTTTTTCACTTGAAGATCTAGCCAAACAGGCATACAAGACCCTCAGCAGTCTCAATGCTAAACCAATACAGCATTTACATGACTTCAAAATTTTGAGAAGCCTTCAGTTAAAAACAAATAATATTTTGATCACAATTTGATATCATAAAATCAGAATTATTTAAATTCCAGACTGAAGCCCTTCTTCTTGAAAAGGGAAAAAAAAGAACCTTGCTTTTTATCAAACTAACTACTGRCATTTCTTCCAGCAGTAAAAAAAAAAGAAGGTAAAATTATCTCCTTCCTAAATGTTTTAAGTTTCTTCACTATTGAGCTTTGTGGGTTTTGTTTTTTTTTTCCCCATTGCAAAAAGAGTAAAATATAATGGTCCAGAACATTGAGTACTTGCTCACCATATTGCCAAGTGTAARTAAAGTTTGTTTAAGTTAGCCCTAATTAAGTATCTCTTGTTGACAAGACTTTTTGCATGAAGACAGATAATTCATAATGTTTATAAAAGCAGAATTAAGATGCTAGACAAAAAATAGACTATTCCAGTGTAGTAGGGGATCATGTATTTTGGCCCCTTGTTCACAAATGCAAGTTGTGGGATTATTTTTTTTAAATGGTTCCATGACCAAGAGACTATGATGAAAAAGTCTTACTGTTTTGCTGGTTAATATCTAAACAGAATTCAGCATTAAAGTGCTAACGTGAAAGAAAGCGTTTACATGGTAAGTATGGGTACAGGAAATACTTCAATTATTTTAGAAGTATTTCCAGCTCTTTAGAAGAAATTGTGTATTTTCAAGCTACAAATCCTCGTGTTTTGATCAAATTTAACAAACCAGAAAATATGTTAACATACCCGAAAACAGAATACTGCCAATGCCTTAAAAATGTCTTACTCTCTATTCAAGTAAATTTTCTGATGAATTGCTTCCACAAATCGCTGCAGTTAATACAGTCCATCTAAGTGCTACCATTTTGTGACTYGGTAGAACAGTTAACTTGTTTTGACTTTAACCTTTGATTTTACAGCAATATCAACAGTCCAGTTAAAACAGCTGCAATGCTCCTGCACTGAATCCTTTTCCCAGCATTTAAAACAATTCAGTAAGATTCTGGTATCACAAACTCAAATTCAGTACTTCCYTCTGAGGGATTTTGTTTAAAAATCGTTTCATTTCCCTGCGGAACRAAAATGTCATCCCAGGTGATGTGTTTGGCTGGAGAGTTGGATGTTGCTCCTTCAGTGCCATCTTTCCCTGAGCCAACACGATAGACAATTCCCCCCTCGTTGAGCACGGGGACGCTGCTGGGGCGGTCACTAATGTAGGCGTACTGTCTGATCTGCAGGGACCTGCAGGGGTGCAGCCGGTACAGCTTGGTGTCTCCAGAAGGGTCTTGGCTGTGAACTGACCTTATGTGAGAGGCTGTAATTTGGTAGTTGATGAAAGATTTGCCACAGGTCAAGCACTGGTACCTTCGCTCCCCGGTGTGGTGAAGTTCGTGCTTGGTGCGATATTCTGCCAGAGCAAAGACTTTGTCACAGTAGTGACACGGGTACTTCTTCTCCCAGGAGTGGACGTTGAAATGTCTCCGCAGGCTCGTCAGACACGCGTACGACCTCTTGCACACGATGCAAATGTAGTAGACTCTGCCATCCACTATGAGCTCGTAGTGGTCGTCGTGCTTTACTTTCATGCGCTTCCCTTTTGGGGATTCATCACCAGACGTTTTGGGTGTGTCACCAGGCTTGGCTTCCCCCTCCTCGGAATCACCCTTCACAGGGATGACTATGTCRTAGGTATCCTCCCCAATATTTGCATAAACCTTACAGCCTGTGGATAAGCCTCCTATTTCAGTTGCTGTATCTAATGTTATAATTTTCTGCCCATCTGCCACGTTCTTTGATGCTATACCCGAACTTAATTCCTTGTTGTTTCCAGAAAGGACATCTGAGATTTTTATTTTAAATTCTCCAKGTTTAGCAGATGGCTCTTGTGAAAATGTAACAACCTGTTTTTTCTGTACACCTGATCCTTCAGTRCTCGCTGCCTTAGGAGCTGAAGGTTGTTGAACCAAAGAGCTGCTGCTGACTGAACCAGGACTACAGGAGCTAATGACATCAACTTCATCTTCAACTTCATCATCAACAGCAGTTGCTTCCACTTCAGTTACAGAGCCATTATTGGATGGCTGGTGGTTCTCCTCAACCAAATTAATTGTAGGAGTCACATGCGTTTGATGCAAGGAGCTGGCACCAAGTGACGCATTAAGCAGAGGCTTGTTTAGCACAATGATATTTGGAGTAAAATGCTGYGGTGTTGCCGAGACGAGTGATTCAGCACCTGATTGTGTTTGGTTTGGGCTTAGCTGACTGGCAGACAAMGTGAGGTTTTGAGCTGCTATGGTGTTCGTCAGATGGGGAGAACCACCACTGCCACAAGATTTTTGGTCAGAAGCTCCAGCTGGACTTGGGCAAGGCTGGTTCTGGCTTGCAGCATTTTTGTCTTTAGTACATTCTTTTGGAGGAACAATTTCAGAACAAAAAATGACATCATCATCCTCATCATCCGAATCGCTCACTGTAATTTTTGTAGTCTCATATTCTATGCCATGTAAGGAGAAAGACTGTGTTATAACTGGCATCCCATCTGTTGCCTCTTGACTCTCTGGCCTGATTACAGTTACCTGTGTTTCAGCATCCCTTTGATTTGGACCAGAAGATGAAGTTTCTGAAGCACCATCTTTAACCTCACTTGGCCCATTTTTGCCTTCGGCGGGAAGTATGCCCAGATCAGCTATGAATTTAACACCCAGCTGCTGCCCTGATTTAATCAGTTCATCGAGTAAATCAGATCGAATGCTGATTATTTTGGAACTATAAATATAATTAAGGATTTCTGCAAAAATTTCTGCTCTTACAAAGCTCAGTTCAACCACTTGACCAGCCACTGAGAAAAGTTGGTGAAAATACGTGCTTGAGGCTGAAAGGATGTTTCTGTGAGCTCGAAATTTACGGTCCTCTACGATGACTGTAACATCACAAAAAAGTCCATGGCCRCGTTGTTCATTCAAAGACTGAAGGAGCACGCTAGAATACTGTGTGTCTGTTGCAGAAATAAGTTTTTTCCCCTCCATTCCTACAAAGGGAAAGTAAAAGGTATCAAATTAGTAACAATGCAGATTTACAGTTTTTAACCGCATGACAGTGTTCACATATTTAGTGTCTGTTCCTTCTYTGGAAAAAGAAAAATCTGAGATACTGATCATAAGGCTATATGCCACAGCACATCACAAAATTGTTTCTTATTGCTGTCCTTTCACCTTCTACAGAAGGTCAGTGGAATTCTGAATATATTCTGTTCTTATACAGCGGGGAACACAGAAACAATGCCTTATCTTATGCAACAGCAAATAAGGTTAATTATAAAACCAAGAAGATGCAAGTTTTGGGTGCCTCAAGAAGCTTTAAACAGTGTTACTAATTTCTTTTAAATTGTGAAATATTCTGTAAATTGTTATGAGAAGGCCTAGTAACATGAGGTTATTTTGGCCAGACAGGAGAATCTGTGTGTCATATTACTAGCTAACTAAATTAATGAAAATTCTATGAACAGCGCACTTCCCCCCCAGAAAAATAAACCTTTTTTAACCCCATGTCATATATTTGCAAGGCTTTGTATTTCAAACCGACACACTGAGGCAACACTGTAACAAAACATATCTGCAAAGTCAAAGTAACCCATCTGTCAGCACTGCCCATTTAAAGCCCCCCAACAAGCTTCGCGGGGCTTTGGAAAAAAGCAAAAACCAACATTAAAACTATGTTGCAAATGTTGCATGATGTCGCAAAAAACAACATCAAAATGCAGAAGAGCGAGTCAGGGGCTCCAGTTTTACTGGTAAAACTTTATTTCCGCAGGCCGGGCCGGGCCGGGCCGGGCCGGATGAGACGCCGAGGCCGGAGCCCCGCGGCCGCCGCACACCAGCCCCGGCAGCGCGTCCGGCCCGGCTCCCCCGCGCCCCCGGGGCTCTGACCGTGACAACGAGCGCTCCGAGCGGGGCTCCTCGGGCCAGCAGCGCCCGGTCCGCGGCCGCACACCGAGCGGGAGCGGCGGCGCTGACAGCGGCGGGCCCGGGCAGCGGCCTGGCGGCGCCGGGCCCACGCTAACGGGCGGCCCCTCCGCCGCTCCGTGCCGTTGAACCGTGCCGAGCCCCCGGCGGGGCAGGAGGGACAGCCGAGCCCCCCGAACCCCCGTTCCCCGCGTTACCTGCGCCGCGCTCCGGCCGCGGCCCCGCCGCCTCCCGCACCGCCGCCACCCCCGCTCCGCTCCGCGCCGCCGCCGGGGGGCGCTGCCCGCGCTGCCCTCGGCTCTGACCCGAGCGGCCTCGGGAAGCTTCGGGCCGGGGCGGGGCCGGGCCGCTCTCCCGCCCCTGGGCCGGGCGCCCCCCGCGCTCTCTCTGCCGCCGCTGCGAACCTCGACCCCGCGGGGCTCTGCGATCCCGGGCCCCGCACACCGCCGGGGACGCACCGCCCACACCGCCGCCCCGCCTGCAGGAGGCCGGCTGCGAACCCCGAGRTGCCGTGTGGCCCCGATCCTGCTCCACCGCAGGTCTTGGCACGCCCGCTTTGGGTCCCGCACACGGCTTTGCTGCGGCCTTGGCAATTCGCGCCTGACTCCGGCTCCCCCGCGCTCCGTGCCCCGGGCGGAGGCGGCAGTAAACCCCCGACACCTGCCTTATGGCTGCCCGTGTGGATAAGGCCTTGGAGACGCTATTTCCCGCTGAGTCTCATTTCCTTCCCGGGAGCAGTTGGCGCTGCTCCGCCAAGGCTGACGCAGCCGGCACCTCCGCCCAGCACCGAGGGGAGAGAAACCCAAACCTGAGCACCCCTGCTAGTGCTGAGCAGCATTGACTGGCRGTTCTGTGCACCACAGTGGCACGTGTTAGACTCTGCCAGCAGCTGTACAAACGTGTAAAGCTTTGGCAACAAAGCACCTTTGACAAAACGCGGCTCTCGGCACATTCGACATGTGGCCATCAAAGTGACATCTACAATGCGGCCTCTTGAAAACTGTCACTGTTCAGGAACGCTCAAAGAACACCAAGATCATAAAAGATATTTTTCATCTTCAGTTACTGATCTGTTCCTTTTTTTTCTTTTTTTTTTCCTATGAATTCTGTGGACTTGAACCACAGGGGTTCCTGATTTTTCTTAAGATTCAAAAACTTTGACAAGAACAAATGTCCTGTCAAGTTCGACCAAAAACATGAACAGGCCACAGTCACTGGCAGAAATTACTGCAATCCTTCACTCCATAAATCAGCAATGAAACGGTCCTGCCCAGGTTTATGAGCTCTTCTAGCAAGAAAATCACCTGCCAGGCTCCCTGTATTTGTATAGTTTGTAGCAGAAGTGTCTTTTTGAAGTGAGCCTTCAGATTTTAAATGTTACAAACCTAGTTTCTGTTTACTTRTAGGTTTTCCCAGAGAGTCAGTTAAAGGTGAATAAATAATAGGAAACACTCAYCAGAGACAAGAKAGTCWTTCCCTCCTCRTATACGACCCTTCAATTCTTTTCTCCTTTAATACAGSTTGTTAATAATTTTTACACACGAGGCTATATTAAATGAAAATAATACTATAATTCTTTTAATACTTAATCCAGTGCTTATTTTCTCCTCCAAAAATGTGTGATGGTCCCAATTAAACCATTTCTTAGCCTTTTACCTTCCAGGTTTACTTTTCTTCTCCTTGCTGCTTCTTCCAATACTAAATAACTAAGAGGAAAATCTACAGCTACAGATAAGCATTGATTTGGAAGGATCCCTGCTCCTGAGGCATCACCAGATCTCAAAAATCAGRTTTGAACCACTTACTCTTAGGCACAGAAATGCTAGCTGATTTAAAAGCTGCTGGGGGAGCTGCACCATCTCCTTGACTTTTATCTTTTTTTGCAGCAGCTTTTCTCTATGGCAACTCCTCCTGTCAGATGTAAAATCCAAAGCCCACTGTCACATTGCCGCAGTCAGGACAGAGCTAATGCTCTCCCCAGCTTAACCAATTTGACTGAAGYTACCACCATCCTCCTGCACCTGAAAGCTGAATTTCAATGTGCATATTTTTTTTTTGTCTAGCATGCATATCCTGCATTTGAGGGTTGTTTTTTTCCACTTTTATTTTTAGATAAGCCTAGCAAGTGTTTGGTGATTCAAGTCACATAAAAACTTACTATATGAATAACAATATAGAGGAACCATTTTATCTGATATTCACAAGAAACATCTAGAACATAGAACTAAACCTGGTATTTTTGGAACTGAAAAAATACATAGGAGACACAATAGTGACTTTTATTTTGATGTATAGAAGTGATCAAAAAAACTCTAGGATGGAGGCTCTGAAAATATGAAGYACAAATTTAAAGAAATATATGTGCAGGTTTTTGTGAGAAGACAAAAAAGTATGCAATTCAGTGATGAATTTTCAATTAAGTAACTTGGGGAGCTCTTTTAAAAATCAATTTGTGAAATAGAAAATTCTTTTAAAGATCTGACAAATCTGAGAGAAAAAGTAACATTCTTCATCAGRAAAACATGTATTTTACATTAAAATCAATTAAATTTTATAAACAGAACAGTTAAGCGTTTTCAGCACAATTGAAATTCAACAGTTATCCTACCTAAGAYTACCTCTAGGAACAGAAATATTATTCCACTGTGGGAGTTTCAAATAAAACATCACTGCTTCWGAAAGACTCTAAAATACTAATATCCACCGTTTGTGCTTTGAAGAATTCTCTGAAAGTATTATATAAAGCCTCATATGACTGAATTAGTAGTCCAGTGATTCTTTTTATTGACTTCAGTAGTTGTYGTAGATGCTGTTATGTACTGCATGGGCATTACATAACTTGTATACAAAAGCACTTCAAGTGTCCTTATGATATTAGATAACAGAGGTGCAGAGTGCTCCTGAGGCAGATGTTTTAGTCATGATTTAGTCAGCTCTATTCACCAAAATAATCACAGGGCCCCAAGCAGGGAGAAACCGGGCTGTCCTCACACAGACACRGGAGACAGTAACATCACATGCATGGACAATCTCGGTACATCTTTTCCTTCCCTATTCTGCACGTGGTTACCTGCACCCCCAAAAATAGGCAATTTAAATAGACTTCCTCCATCTTACAGATTTTTTTAATGCTGCTTATGGTAGGTTTGGGAGTTGAAATATTGTTTTATTTGTGAAAAAGAGACTCATATACCCTGATATTATTTATAGACAGCATAAACCATCATGGGCTTCCCAGGGTGGAGCAGCTGTCCAAAATGCCCCATGTACGCAGAGCTGGCCGGACCCAGCAATGTTCCACTGTATTTCTAAGCAGAAACTCGGGTTTTTTTTAAAGAAAGCTCTGTGGAAACGTGGTCAAACCTGAGGGGGAAGGACACTCACAGAACAGGGAGAGTGGGTGTCTTATCTGAATATATAATTTGTATCATCTTCAGAGAYAAAGGTTAAGGTTGGGAAAGAGTTTTATGATGATCATCAACTCYAGCCGTGAACCCAGTAACACCACCACGTTTGCCATTAAACCATGTCCTTAACTGCCACCTTCTCCACAYGGTTTTTGAACACTTCCAGGGATGGTGACTCCACCACTTCCCTGGGCAGCCTCTTCCAGYGCTTGACCACACTTTCCATGAATAAAATTTGCTAATACCCAACCTAAACCTCCCCTGACGCAACTTGAGAGCATTTCCTCTCGTCCTGTCAGTTTTGCCCGGCCCCGCTGCCACCGGAGCGGCGGTCAGCACCGTGTCAGGCCGCACTGGGAGGTGCCGGTGGGCCGAGCACTCCAAACGGGGCCTTGACCGGGCCGGGCCGTGTCAGACAGCGCCGGGMCCGGGCAAGGCAGGGGGAGCCCCGCGGGGCAGGGTGAGCTGTCCGCGGGGCAGTGCTGCTCCCGGGCCGCCCTGGACAGCTCCCGGGGCCGCGGCCGTGCGCCGGTACCYGCGGAGCGGGGCGGGACAGGATCCGCGCCACCGCCGCCCCCCGCCCGCGGCTCGCCCCCCGCC